TTTGTTGTTTGGGAGCTCATTACGCTTCTTCGAGAAGCACCGAATGTACTCCCCGGAGGGTCTTGTCGCCTCTACTTGGTACCTGTGGACATCCCAGAGTTCCCCAAGGGTGTAGGTACCCTAGAAGTGGCTGATGAAGACCACACGAGATTGCCCTAGTAGCGGATGCCGCCAAAGCTCGAAGTTATTTGAGCCAAGCTCGTCGAGCTTGACAAGCAGAGGAATGTACCAATGGCTAAGTCATTGTCCCACCCTCGCTTTCATGGCAAGGCGGTAGTCCTTGAGCCAATGGTCTAGCTTGGTCTCGCCATTGTACTTGAGAGATGGCCGGTGGTCGAAGCGCTTAGGGTAGGGGCGCCGATCGCCGCCCCAACGCTAGGGGGCCAAGTGATCCGGGATGGGGCTCCCCGCCCATCGCTGTGGGTACGAGATTACCGAGCGCGGGCACCTGGCCTCGATGGTGTCACGGACGCCGTGGTCGCCGATCCAGCGCCGCGGGGACGCAGGAGAAAGGTCGCGCTGCCTCGCCGAGGCTTGGTGCCCCGGATCCATGGTCGGGTCGAGCTGTTGTCGGAGACGCCGCCGCCCCCGCTTCGTGGGGTGTCGATCGAGCGCCGGGCGACATGGCTGCTGCTCAGGGATGGCTAGGAGAGCGCTGTGTGGCGCTTTAGAGGCTGAACTTCCTGGTCATGTTTTCGAGGCGACGCAGGAGGAGCGCCGCTGCTTGCCCGGCCGGGCCGTTGGTCTTCGTGTCCTCGTTTGAGATGTCTTCCAGCGACAAGCGAAGCAATGCCATGTTGTACGCCATGCGGAAGGAGAGGCCATCGGGAGCCTCAAGTGCATCGGCTGGCTGCCGGAGAGGGTGCACGGTTTGCTGCCACAAAGTTCCGTTTTGGCGCTTGAGTCAGTCAGCGCCTCCAAGTCACCTCCCGACCAAGCACGCAAGCGGGTCCGCCTCCCAAAGGTAGGTCACATCGAGGACTGTCCCAAGGAAGATGAGCCCCCGGCGCCTCCTCAAGAAGATCACCGCCACCATCGGCGTGGCAGCACATGCACGGCGGGCGTCAGAAGTCGACGCGTCAGCCAAAGTCAGATGGTCCGCTCTGAGAGGACCTCGAGGAAGGTGCAGGCAGTGAGGGGATCGCCAAATTCCTACTACGCCGTGAGCGGATGACGCTTTTATGGTGCCTCACGACTAATGAGGTGCTCGGCTCCAGCTACCAGAAGGACACCACCGCTGCTCAGATCTCAAAGGCAGGTCCGAGAGGTGATGGGCAGGCGATCAAGTAGCAGAGGAGCACCTCACCGTGGTGACATTTGGTGGTGGACGTTGGGCGCATGTAGAACATCCGGTGGCTGGTCCCATTGCCAAGTGGGGTTCGGCCTTAGACCACGCCGTGGATCCGGCAAAGTTAGAACCTCAAGATCTGTTCCCAAGAGCTCCCGGAGGGGCACGACACTGTGGAAGCTCAAGACTACCGGGCGCTAACCTCGTGGCGGAGTGGACGAAGCTCACCATAGGGGGCCGATGTAGGCTGGGCTCCCCAAAGTTGAGGACCCCTGTCTAGAGCAAAAGCGCTTGAAGCCATGGCGGAGAACTCACCGGGAAGCGGACACCGCCATCTACGGGTGGCGCCGCTCTGTTACCTAGCGATGAGGCGGGTGGCTCCGCCACCGTAGAGCCAAAATCGCGCCTTGGACGCTCACTCCCTACTTGGCGCCACCGGCTTGTTGCGGGTCAAAACCCACTACGGCAAGCATGTTGTTCAAGTCGATGACCAGTGCACGGGGTCTCGGGTGGCTTGGTGGACTCGGGAACACAAGAACCACCTGCAGAGAAAGACGCGAACGGTTTATCCTAGTTGAGGCCAATTAGGTCCCTCGTCCAGCGACTAATGATCCTCATACACAGAGCACCAAAATTTGGGGAGGCGTTACAGCAATGTAAAGGAAGAAGATTTGGTAGGGGGGTTAGCTCTAGTTACTAATCCTAAGGTTGCCACGCCGCCGATGGAGTCTCCCCCTCGCCGCAGAGAGGAAGGAGATGGTGGGGATGCTGATGAAGAGGGCTCTCGATGCCCTTCTCAGGTTGCCTTGCTCTCTGCAAGCAGGCAGCGAGGCGTATAGAATGGGAATGGAGGTGTCGGTGATCAATTGGGATCCTCCCACTTCTAAAGTCCGACCTTATCCCTTATATAATGAGATAGGTTTGGTACAAGGTGGTTTGAGGGTTCAAATCCATAGTCTACATGCGCGAAGTCTGGGAGAGGCTTGCAGCGACTCGCGTAGTGGACTGGCCGAGGTGTCTTGGAGCCAAGATGCCCGGGTGTCGTCGGTTTCCTGCTCGACACTCATGCGTGTCAAAAGGGTGTCGACTTGGACCGCCTCCATTAGGTGAGACCTTCTGAGTCTTCTTGGTGGCGAACGTGGTCGGCCCTGGGCTGACGCTGGGCCCAAGCCCCCGAGCTCTGGAGGACGCGGGAAGTTTGTCTTCTTGTGTCACGCCCGGACATGAGACCTCGGAGGGAGGAGCAGTTAGCGAGGGGCACGCCTGGGAGCGGCACTAAGGGACCCCCGCACATCGGTAGCCTGGGGCTTGTCTTCTGCTGTGCTCGGGCCTTGCGTGGCATCGTTAATGAGCATGAGCTGAAGACCCGGCTTGGTCGTGCCGTAGATCGGGAGCCCAAGGATCGAGGGAGCCCTCGAAGCCTCCAGGCGCTGCTCGGGCCGGTCTCTTTGCCGAGAGTGCATGCGAAGTGCCCGTCTGGGCATAGCCCGGGTGAAGCCCCCCGGCGATCCTGAAGGGTCGGTCGGGGAATCTATTCGCTTAGAACCATTGAACCCGAGGCTTAACATACCTGTACGTTAGGATCTCGCCAGTATGTATGTTTGATTGGTCGATATATTAATCTAACTTTATTTTAATAACCGATGTATAGAATGGATCATGGAGGATTCAAACTATACAGCCACGATGTTGTCAGAAATTGGTCCTGCTATCGGCCAGGTTGAAGGTGAAAGAAGGAACCAGAGAAACCAGAGGATTTATTTTAACGAACATCCGTCTCTGCTGATGGTTCGGTAATTAACTAATTGGTCCCGATACAAGTCTACATCAAGCTAGTCCTGGTTTGAAACCAAAAGATTGGTTCCTTATATGATCCTACAAGAAAATAAATTCGTCCCTTTGTGACATTGGACACTATATGTTCAATTTCGTTCCAACTTACCATGAGATTATTCATAAAAGGACCAAACACCCCTGGTAGAAAAACGAACAGATGGAAGTCAATTATTAGGATCCAACTCGAATGGTTATTAAAGTCTGCACATCTTGACCTGAAGAAGCTACGTTTTTCTCCCTTATTCATTCTCTCTTGGATGCAGGTAACCTAATGTGATATCTCTCTTTGTATCCTTAGCTTTTAACCATTCAAGAGAGATGAGACAAGTGAGGCAAGTTACATGGACAATTACTCAAGTGTCTATGGTAAAACCTGTCAATCAGGATATATGCCAAAGGCCCATGAGTACTTTTCTAACTGTTTACGCCATGTTCAGAAACAGAACTTTAAATCATATTTTATTTTAACATGTTTACAGGATCTTGTAAAATTGTAATAGTTTGAAAAGGTTGTTAGAGAAAAGGATAAAAATTACATATGCTATATGTTAATATCTAACTCGATTATATATTTAAAAGTTACACCCCTGTCACCGAATATTAGGACTTCTGAAAATTTAGGACAAAATAAAAGTAGGCAACAGGAGAAAGCCTAACATTCCCATCATTAAACAGTAGTGCCCAGTTCTGATTGTCTTTAATAGTACATGCTATAAATTGCTGATTCTTGTCAGACCGTGGAGGATGGGACTCGGTGTTGGAGATATTAAACCTTAAGCACTAGAAGCCCTTTGCAACGAAACGATACAATATAGTAAAAGTTTAGAAATATTAATCTCATGACCATTGAAAGGGTTGCGGCTCTTAAAAAAAAATCTAGAGTTGTGACCGCAAGTATTAGTAACATTGTAATTATGTTTGTACATGAGCTCTTATGAAACTGCAAAGTACTCACAGTAATTTGTGTAATGTAAGAAAATTTTAAAAATATTACTACATGTTACTAACTTTATTATTGTTTGTAGTTTACACTTATTCCTTTTTAGGCTTTTATTTCGCATGTTCTTTATCATACTCTGTGTTCGTGATTCTTTACCGACATTTCACTACTATAGAAATGGATTCCGCCAACACTATTTCACCATTGTTCTATTAAACCATCGGTAAAATATATCACCGTCAGCATCATGCCTTTAGCGACCATGTCATGTCTTGTGGTAACGAGGACACAACTACCTTGAGCTAGGATGCTTAATAATGGAGTTTTGAGGACACCCGCCCATGCATGGTGGTCCCAGACATCATCCATCACCAAGAGTGTCTTGCACCTGCAAGGCTTCCTTCAGGGGTTCGTGACATTAGTGCAGCCTTGTGTTTCTAGATGCTTGACGGTCTCCTTGCGCCTCATTTATAGCTCTCTCCAATAGATCAATGTCGCTAAATTCTTGATTGACACTCAACCATATTCTCTTTTCAAATTCTAGTTTGATGATGTCATTGTTGAAGATCTTCTTGGCAAGGGTGGTTTGCCAATCCCTCCAACTCCCACAATAGCATAGACAATAATTTTTTTGTGTTCATGTAAATTTTTCTCCTTCTTTGTGAGCAAATCCACATGATTTCTTGTGTCCTCCTCAATCTTCTCACCAACAACACCTAACTCATCCTCCCCGTTGTGTCTCACGCCTAGCACGACGAGAGGATTCTAACTTTGCCTGCTATCCTCATAAGATGCAAGGTTAATGAAGTTAAATGTTTTGCTATGCTTCTCAATGTCATCTAGCCTCTCATTAAGATTTTTATCACGATTACCAATGTCATGAGCATGGAGAGCATCCCTCATACAAAATAGCAAGGGATTGAAGCAGCCCATATCCATGCTTGGGCCCCTTCCCATGGCCTTGAGCTGGCACAAATCAAGGATGTTGCCGGCATCATACATGACATTCCTAAGCTCTCTCACCCATGATTGTACACTCTCATCGATGATGTTCTTCTTGTCAAAGATCGGCAAGGAACCTCTTAAGGTCCCCGAGCATGATGTCCATCTTCTTTATCTCATCGAGGACACCCAACAACAGATGCACCTCTTCTTTAGTCATCTCCAACAACATGTCTTGGAGGTATGATGCTAAAGCATCCAACCGCCACCATTATTTTTTGGTATCTAGAAAATCAAGATTAGACAAAATGTCATTTTTGATAATGTGGTTTGTTTAAAGATGCTGAACGCATTAAGGCCCCGTAACATGGGCACTACTCAAATGGCAAAACTGTAGCACTAGATAAGTACTAGAACAGAGTTGATAGTAGGGAATGTTGCAACTAATCACAAAATGATAATTGAAGGGCCTGGCTTTGGTACCAGATCTGTTACATAGTAACAAGATAAAAGCACGGAGCTGAAAAATTAGTGAGTAGAAGATGTAAATATTTGAACGTTTGATCTATGGATGATGTTGCTATATATACTTGGCACCTAAAATTTGAAAGGAGTCACACCAATCTCAACCTGCGTGTGAGTATGTTTGTGTGTGGAAGATAAGTAACATATCTAACAATAATAAGAAACAAAGAAAGAAAGAAAGAACGTGGATGGACAGAAAATAGAGAGGGAGAGAGAACAGGGAAGTTGTGGTATGCCTGGTATATGTATTTCATTTGTTTACATTCTATCTAGTATTATGTTGGTTTGCTTGTGTTGTCATCAATCACAAAAAATGGGCACATTGTAAGGATAATGTGCCCTTATCGTATCTTTGAGTTTTGGTGATTTAGATGACAACGCATAAGCCAAGGACTAATATATATGTTAAATATATGTTAGATAACTAAAAATAGGTCCTAGGTGTGGAAGAAAAGAAATTGGCGTGAAAACCGGCGATGAAATGGGGCAAAAAGTACTTGGTGCGCTGAACAAGCACATGTTGGACAGTCTAGCGATGGGAGAAATATATGCACCTGGCAATTGAAGATAGAAGTGCCTCACGGAAAAAATTCCTTGCTTGAGTATCGGACGATCCAGTAGAAAGGCAGCAGAAGCATGGATCATTCGATGATGACTAGAGACCTGGCCACTGTGTAGCCCTGGTAGGCAGAGAGCATTGAACCACCTAGCGAACTGAACCTTGAAGTTGGTGGATCATCCGGTGTGGTCCAGTGGAGTGACTAAAGGTGTTTGCAAGCACCAGATGACCTGACGATGTGCATTAATTAAAAAAATCAAACAACGTATCTTCCAACAATTGGAAAAAGTAAACAGAGTAGTTCAATAGCTAGTAACACCGTGATGATCTTGTGATGGATCTTTTGAAGATAGTAATTTTCGGTGGTTATTGCAGATGGGCTATGTATATGAACTTGCCTTTCACTTGCTTGTGTGTGTCTTAGTACCCTTTAGTTTGAACATCTTGAGACGGTGATCATCCATTCTTGGTGTGGAATGGTGCGTGTTCTGTGTGGGGCGGATCCAAAATCAGCCCGAGGGGCGGGCTAAATAACACGAAAAGGCTTTGAGCTGGGCTTTCATAGGGATTTTGGGCTGAATTGAGAGCGAGTTGGGCCGATATCCTCCTTGTATTTGTGGCCCACGGGGTCGCAGCCCACCCAGCCCCACCCTGAATCCGCCTCTTGTCTGTGTGCAAAGGATGAGGAGACCCCTAGTTTGGAGAAGATCCATAGTGTATCTGGGGTCAAGGCAACTAGAAGAGCCAGTGGCGGTGGTGAAACTTCATAATTCAAGGGATAGCCTTAGGTTAGCTGGGAGCTTTCTCGCAAAGTCAAACACCATGGCGGGGAGAGTATTTGTGTTTGATTCGTGTTTTAGACCTGGCTCGGCTAGCCAACTAAGCCTAGGTTACATTGGTTAGCTTAGCATGCACAAGAAATGGTGTGACTGGATGTCTAGTTTGCCTTGTATATAATCACCCATCTTTGTGCTAGTAAGTTACCTCTTTGAGACATTCTATCTAACAGGTGGTCAGCCACATGCCAAACCATCTCTCTGCCAGCATGCTCCTCTACCCCCTCACAAAGTGGGCACCCACGCCCATTCCCACACTCGTGGCCAAAGTAGGAAGAAGCAGTGTTGAGCACGGGGACGGAGTATCGCGGGTACAATGGTGGTGATGTAATCGTAGAGTAGGGGGCAAGGCACCTTGTGCAGAGCTAGCATGAGTGCCGAGCCAATCGGAGGTGCTGCCGATCGCCTCCCACCATGATGTACTCAAGTTTTAAGGCCAATGCTTCTGACCATGATGTTGAGCTCGCCCTCCTCTATGGAGGGTTCCAACATGGTGCTCGGCCTGGGTTCTTGGCGCTCCACTCCTCTTTGGCAGGTGCTCGGTCCTTGTCATGCTCTCCGGCTGGTGCTCAACGGCGGGGTACCAAGCGGGGACTAAGGGACTAGAGGTGAGGTGGCAGGGACCGATGGCCTTGAGGTGAGACATGTGCTAGTCAAATCGGGCTCCATGGAAATGTCTATAGAGGTGGCTTCAGTAAAACAGGCTTAGGGGTGTTGGGTGCATTGTTGGACCCAATCTATATGCCCTTCCTGCATTGCTGGAGCCTAGCAGGTGGTAGGATTGGATTTTGGTTTAGACTAGTTCATAGAATTGGCTCTAGGTTGCAAAACTATTTGTGGGAATGGTTAGTTAGAGCAAACTAGAAAAACCATAAATGCACATCATGCTAAAGAGGCTTGGTTTTTCTTGTGTTAATTTAAATTAAGCTGTAGGATTTAAGTTTAAAATTAGACACCCAATTCACCCCCTGTTAGGTGTTCTCGAGACCTTAATGGAGGGAGTATTACCAAATCTAATTTTGACATGCAAACAAGCCTCTAGAGACCTTAATGGAGGGAGTATTACCAAATCTAATTTTGACATGCAAACAAGCATGGATATTGATGGTCGAAGCGTCCTGTGTTCAATATGGTGTCTTAGCTTGCCCAAAGTATCGTGATATATATACTCCCTCCCTCCTAAATCAGACCATTCTAAGTTTGACAAAATTTACATAAAAGAATAAAAGTACTTACAATACCAGGTTAACAGCATTAGATAAGTTACGAAATCTAGTTTCATATGTAATTCGCCTCTTTCATAATGTACTGTTGATGTTAATACTCTTCACTATAAACTTAGTTAAATTAGGATAGTTTGACTAATTAGGACAACCTTAGATCCATATATTTCAGGACAAAAAAAGTATGGTATTAGTGATGTATACATTTTAGAAACTGTTTTTGTCTTTGTGAATGATAATACAAACACACGGATCTTTCAAAAACACACACAACCACAAGGAAGGGAGAATGTTTATATAGGATTTTTTGTTAACACAAAGGCTGATTTGTGCGTAGCACACTTGATTCATCGATTTTGTCCGCTGGACACCATGATTTTGTGTTTATGTCTCCAACACAGCGAAGAATAAAATGACTATGATCTCTCCTTTGCAGCTGAGCAGTAATACATCAGCAAGAACTCTCGATTCAATCGAGGGTGAAATGGTTTGCTACTGCCAGTGGTGGTGCCACCGCCTGGTGACCCCGAGGGGCAGCGAGGTGCCCATCGGCAGTGCAATGGGATTTTTTGTTTGTACCAAAGAGAGACTCTATAGTTTCTAGCTCCACCGCTGGCTACTGCAATTTGTCCACCATTGAGCCACGGGATTGACAAGAAGCTACTGATTCAACGCCACTGGTGGCCCTAATTTGAAGGGCATGCATGGAGAGACCATGGATGTATGGCGTGTGGACCTTTCGTGCTTGGCACCCCGGTATAGTACACTGCATGAGCATGTGGCGCTGGCCCACATGAGCATTAACGTCTAGAGCTGGCGGGGCAGGATGCAGGACGGGGGTGATGGCGCTTACCATGCGTAGCCCAACAGAAGGGAGGCAGTTGACACATGCACGTGCTTGTAGCAGCAATGGCGCAGGGGTGCGGGAGGGGAAGGTGGCCCATGGCATCCACACAACAGTTACCGCGGCACGCCTCTCCCAAGAGGTCTCGCTGCCCAAGGAGTTTCGTTCTGGTGGAGGAAACGAGTGCTGCGCAGTGGAGGTTTGGCGATAACAACATGGTCCAATGTGGAAATGAGTCGAAGGGAAGAGAGTGTCAAGGGCAGAATGGTCCTTTGACTGGGCATGGCGTGTCATGGAAAAAAAATAATGTTTTCGCAATGTGTTTGTGACTAATTCAATGAGTACAGTGCGTTGTGCACAAATCCACTCTTTTTTTAGTGTCCTGTGGACAAAAATCCTTATTATACTGTCAACAGATGAAGCACACGAATCAAGCAAACAAGAACCGAATATAGAAGGGGACAACATACAATTTTGTATAACTATCAACAGATGAAGTATAAGCTAAGGGTGTTGGGTGCATTGCTAGAGCTAGTCGGCAGGCCCTTCCGAGGCAACCATAGGACCACCTGCATTGCTATAGCTGGACAAGTAGCAAACAAGGCAACCAAACAGACCTGGAGGGTACCAGGATGGATATATACTCCCTGCCTCCTAAATCAGACCATTCTAAGTTTGACTAAATTTATAGAGAAGAACACTAACATTTACAATACCAAGTTAACATCATTAGGTAACAGAAGACTTCTTACACAGAAGCTTATGGCATGACCCTCTATAACTATTTTGCAGTTCGGGCAATCTTTTGCCCGAGTTATCGGCAACCATGATTAATATGCCAAAATGCTAAACTGAGGCCAAATGTATCTCTCCACATTTTTATTAATCAGAACAATCTTCGTGCCTAGCAGAGGCACTGCTTTTCCCTGTTCGTCTTTTTGCGTGTGGGAGACGAGCAACTGAGCACCAACACCGTGCTCACCAGGCCCGAGCCGGTGCTCGCCCAGGTGGCCATCCTCTCGTCGGTCTCCTCCCTGTCTCTACTTCCTTCGGTGCTTGCTCTCTGTCTGTCTCAGATTGGCAGCAGCATCTGGCCGGCAGCGAGCAGACCCACCGCTGGTTGTTCCTCTCTCCATCTCCGCTCGGTACGTGCAACCCAGTGCCGTGCGGTAGCTGTTTCCCTCCGTTCGTGCGGTTTTCTCTCGGTTCTGTTCGGCTGTCGGTGTACACCGCCTCCTGATCGTGCGGTGCACCGCTCAGCAGTGTCTGGTGCCCTTCGGTGGTGTCCGGTGCCTGTCAAAGTGCCGGCCCAATTTCCAGTCTGGCAGGTTCAATTTCCAGCCCTGTTTTTTTTTTTTTTTTCATCCGTGGTTTGCGCGTTTGTGCTCGGATTTAAGTTCCATCTTTTGCGTTGGTTTTCCATCGATTCAAGGAAGTTATCTAAGTATTCTCGTCACCAGTTGGTATGGATATTTTAGATTTGGGAACTTCTTTTGGTTTGCTTGTTTAGGCGGTGATTTGGGGACAACGACCAAATATTTCGAGAGAAATTTTACGGCTTCCATTCACCTCCTTTGGTCACCGTTTTGGTCCTTTATATTGCTACTAATTTAAATATCTGAAAAATAAAAAGGAGCCTCGTTAGGAAGGTGCATTCTCATGGCACTGGCAGCATATATATGAACATTTAGTTTGCAACCTGCGTACATTTTAGGCTCACAATGAATCTGCAAGCCGGAATAAGCTGTATCATAACATTTGTTTTGTAACATGACGACTCACAACAATTATATGTACAAGGCTCTGTATTCTCAGGTGGTAACCTAAACTAATTCACATCACATCGCATTCTAGTCACCATGAATTTATTTGCAGTGTCCAGCATCTGACTGCCTCACGACGACCCGCAGCGTAGTAATCAGGCTCCATTGCTTCTTCTTCGGCCGAAGCGATGATAGCTCCAGCCTCCAAGGCTGCTTTTTGTCCATGCGGCACTCCACCTGCAGGCGAGGTCTTTTATGCATTCTATAATCGATAGTGCTAGAGACGTATGTAGTAATAATAATAGTCTTGGAGTAGCATGCATACTTTATTATTACTCCTCTGTTGTTCCACGATGAATTCCTTCAAACTTGCTCCACTTTGTCCAATAACACCTCCTCTGTTTCATCCCCTGAAACGGACCGTCTAGTCAAGTAACCAGATATTCAATAGCAAAGAAAGGTGCTCCAGTATATGCAACACATAAAGCATCAGTGTTGTGTTAATTTACCTGAAGCGTCTGGCAGAGGGGCTGATGTTTGTCTTGAAGCTGAAAGGATCTCTCGTGTACTTCACGTACCACTTCCTTTCAATGTTGTTGTCATCATCATCTGCATATGCCTTGACCTGCTTGATATGGCTGAACTTGTCCCACTCAGGGCCAGATTCCCCTTCAGCTATGGAAGCGAGCAGGGAGATGTCGCACTCTACATGCAAATCCCTTGGGTTTACGTCCTTCAAGTATCCAGGGAGTGTTTCCATGTCGTAGTCCTCCAGTGCGAGTCTATGAAGTGCAGGCAAACCGTCCAATACCTTCAACTCTGGGCATCTTATGATAATGAGGTTCTGCAAATTTGGCAGATTGCTGATCCTCTCTAGTCCATGACATCTACTCACCACAATTTCCAAATCAGAACCAAAGTTTTCCACAGCGCTTGGTGCTCATGATGGTGTGTAGTAAGAACTCTGTTGCAACACGCTTGATGCCTGGGGCGCTTTTAATCTGTAGCAACTCCAAGCTGGGAGCTGCCACAAGCCATCAGGTAGCTCTATGCAATAAGCAAGTCTACCATGAATAGAATCCTCAAGCATCCAAGGGACACAATTGCTGTCGACGTCATCCACTTCGGAAGTCGTTGACTAAAAGTACCATTAATTTCAAGATTTTCTAAGCAAGGCGGAGGCAGAGCTCATCAAACACCTTCTCGATGTGTTGCTGCTCATCCTGTTTCACCAACCAGTGAGCACCTCCACTACTACTAGTGCACTGTAAGTACAGAGAGCTGAGGCACACCTTTTCACCAAGCCTGGCTTTTATAGCAAATGAGGAAGAAGATACATTCTCCAGGCCATGTATACGAAGACGCATGAGCTGGTTAAGAGGTCCCTAATTCTTCCAAACTACACCAATCACCCTCCACATGGGCTGAAACCCCTTTAATATCCTCAAATTAGTTAGGCTGCCGAAACCCCTGGGTATATTGTTTATACCTGAGTATGCAAGGCTTAGATACCTCAGCTGCCGTAACTCTCCAATGCCATGAGAAGCTTCACCAAACTTTGACAATTGGTAAGGTCAATGCACTGCAAAAGAATTTCATCTTGGCTATTTTTTTTTGGCAGCCTAGATGTGTTAGTGCCATCTAGGCACAAATACCTCAAGTGTTTGAGTTGGACCAAGGATTTAGACAATGCATCAAAATTTGCATCTTCTATATGTAGGGTCCGCAAACATGGAAAATATGACAGTGAATCACCTGGGTTGATCTTAATTTTCCCAACAAAATTAGTGTTCGTAGTGATATATGTGCTTGCAGAGAACTCCACCCTAGCCCATTTGATTTTGATCCATTGGTTTTAGTGATATCTGAATAATATTTTGTGGATTAATATTGTTGATAAGGCCAGCCCTCACTTTTGTTTGCTATCAGTGCTTCATCTCTAGTCAAATACTGAGCGAATGAGCGAACAACATCATGCATATTGCAAACTAGATGGTCTATGTACCCTTGATCCGGCTCTAGAAGGTTCCTAGCTATTAGCTGGTCATAGTACTCTTTTCCTAATACTTCTAAATCACACGTGAGTTTCCATGAACAAATCCTTCCCCAATCCACATGGCAACAATACGGTCATACCCGAACAATACGCTCTTGGGGAGGAGGGCGTAGTGCAGAAAGCAAGACTGTAACTCTGGGTTTGCAAATCTTGATAGCTAAGGTATACTGCATAGTTTACCTCTTCAGGCATTTGAGATACTGGCCATGTAGAATCCACATAGGACATTTTCCAGTCGCTGCGCCTCATGTTTTTCTGGCGGAGAAAGGCCTCCTATTACTTTGACTGCAGAGGCAAACCATCACATTTGCTATAATCGACATTCCAATGTCCTTCAATGCATCAACCTTTGGTTCATCATTGCTTTCATTTCCAACCACCTGCAAAGCAACTTAAAAGCTTTTAATTGAATGGAATATGTAGATATAAATACACTTGGTAATAATCGGAAGCAAAATCAAAGTGCTAAAAACGATACTGTGTGCAGAGCCAAAATTTACGTGCGACGTTCTAAGCGTATGACCGATGTACCAGTCCACTAAAATAGATGGAAAAATCATCGTATATGTATATCACTACGGTGCAATTAGGTGACGTCTGTGACTGTGTACAAGAATAGTGTTCTCATCGGTCACTATCATTACCAACTCTACGTCTACCTGATGTTTATAGTCACTCCAGTATTTATCGTATCTTTTATTTATTTTTTTCTTATTTTATTAAAAAAGGTTCTACAGTACGCCAGACTACTTCTCACTGCCAAGTACTGACATTGATAAGTGATAAAAAAGCACAAAAATGTACGCCAGATTACTGCATCTTCACTGCCAGTAACTTAAACAATGACAGTATTTAAACTCAAGATCTCAACATTCTCCTGAGCATCTATACCAGCAGAGCTATACAACACTTGTGACTATACAACTGATGCTATTCTTTTAACTACACAATTTTGAATCTTATATTGCATATTTGATACTCTAAATGATCTCAAATGAAAAGGTTGTTAGCTGCAAAGTTGTGGATCGATCTCATCGACTACTAACTCTACTATTGACTTTGTCTCCATTCAACATCATTAACCATCTCAAATCCATTGGTGAACTTACATAGGATTTTTTGATATATAAACCATCTTAAATTAAAAAGTTATTAACTACAAGTTTTTAAATCTTTTGAGCGTATAAAACTTATCTTATCAAACATCATATGAAAAAGTTATTACTTTTTAAGTAAAATAGCCTATCACCGCTGGTTGTAGCCACAAACCGGCCATGATGGGTGGTCCTTCACTTTGCATGTTACGTGGCTATAACCAGTGATAGTACACTGCCTGTCACTATCACTTGTAGCCACGATTCGTTCGTGAAAGTTCGATTCGTTCATGAAAGTTCATCTATCAACTGTCGGTTGTACTATCACTATCGGTTCCAAAGCAACCCGACAATGATGGTCCGAACAATGATGGCTTTGTGTTTGTGGTAGTGCTGGGTCCTATACTACCCACTTGCCTATTAATAATGGTATGAACTATCATGTCAGCCTGCACTATGTCACTTAAGTCCATGTTTGGATGTTGTAGTATTAAGAGCGTAGTATTAAGAAACCACGATTTAGAACCTATAGATGTGGTAAACCATGTGTCCGGGTTCATAAACCCGGGTTCCCTAATGGACCTGCTCCCCGACAAAAGCTTCGGCCCGGAGGCGACATTGCGACGACATGCAACTCTGGGCGGCCCAAAGACCTAACGACGAGCGGGAAGGGCGATCCGATCTCCGGCCGGAAGGCCTAGCCAAAGAGCGGAGACAACGCCCGCTTCCGACTTGGGCCCGCCTCTCCGACCGGAAGGACTGGCCAAGGAGGAACGGTGCAACGCTCGCTTCCGACTTTAGCCTGCTTCTCCGACCGGGGAAACACCGAACCTACGCTTCTGACTCTTCTCCGACCAGGCCTATGATCGGGCCGGTTTGAGACCTGGGCAGGGGCGCCCGCTTTCGGTAGAGACCAAGAAGCGAGGCGAGACAAGTAAAGGCGAGCGCAAAAAGACAAGCTGCCAATCTGAGGACCGTACCCTACACACCTGCAGGACAGTACTGTCAGACCATGGCAGAAGGGTGTTCTACAACCTTCCAGGCAGGTCAGAACCCAAAACAGTGTTGAGGGCACCGACATTTGCCCTACAGTGTTGTGGGCGCCATCAATTACCATACCGAGCAAATCTGGTAAGGCCCCCACATGCCTCACAGGCATCGGCGATTGTTCTTGAACACCGTCATACACAGTGAAGGTGGTAAAACCTCCACATGCATCGACATCAATAGTATTGTGGGCGCCTACAATCATCTTATAAGCAAAGGCTTGGGCAACAAGACTTAGTAACATCGTCATACTCTCTCTCACTCACTTGTAAGGCCGTCCCTTCATCTATAAAAGGGATCGCCCTCTCCCAACAGACGATCGATTCAAGACACAACAACAGAACCACTTTGGGTTCAAACCTCGAGCACTGCCTTTCGAATACTCACCAGCGCGTAGGAGCTCTCGTCACTCTCGGCCCTTGATTGGGAGTGCAGTCGGACCTCTTGCACCCCATCTTACTCCTTCTCGTTTGTAACCCCACAACAAACTTGAGCACACAGGCTCGGGGAATAAAATCACCGACAAGCTCAAACTAGGCGTAGGGCACGTTGCACGAACGATATAAACCTGTGTCATTGAGTGCTAGGCCACATCCGATCCTGGCGTATGGCAAAACTACAAATATTTGCTTGTTGGTCACTTTACTGCACGAGCAGTTGGCGCCATCCATGGTGAAGACACCGTCGTTCACGCTTTTGGTCATTGGATGGCCGACTTTTCGCCATCTTCACCATGGCGGGTTCAGCGTCGACTCACTTTGGCTCATTGGGTTTCCGCATTCCCACCTATTGGGATGTGGGTTCCAACCATCTTCGAGCCATCCCGGACCTTCCTCTTGGGAGCGAGGACTTTGTGCCAACCCGGCTTGGCGTACTTCACCTTCGTGAGAAGACACTTGTTCCGGCGCCCATCGGACCGTCGCCCTCCGTCGTCTCGGGACTCGGTGACTTCAATGGCGGCGCTGCGCCCGTTCGAGCATCGCTCTACTCAAACCCAAGCGTGAGTAATATACATACTATTATTTACTCGCTATTTACTATCTTCCACCAATTATCGGTGGGACCCTATTATGCGCACCGCAATCGCCATATGACCCGGTTCCCCTCGGCCTCCGTCCACCACGGATGTGTATGCCTGAGGCTCAAAAAATCTTGACACCCCCTGTCACATCAAATTTGTGGGGATGGCAATCGATGCTCCCACCTCTTTCCACGAGCTTCGTGGATGGCGTGAATTGAAGCGGCGGCTCCCGGCATTGGCGGCGTGGCACCTGGTCACCATCCATCCCATGAGTGCGCTATGGTGGGCGCTCTGGGACAGCCACCCGGTGGTAGCGAGTCGCTGCGGACTCACACCCCTACGGACCCTCGTCTGGAGGCCCTCGCGTGTGCCGCGGCGCGCATGGCGAGGCTGCGACAAAGGTGGTAGAACTAGCCACCTTTTGCGCCCGCAACGCTTAGCATAACACGTTGCGCCGCAGCGCCGCGTGACCCGGCCGGCGGCGCCGGTCGCGCCGCCCGAGGTCGGCGCAACATCATGGATGAAGGCGATCCCCACCGATT